GGGGGATTCAGCCCAAATCATTTCTACCTGAGACCTGTTTGATCAAAGATTTAGAGTTGAATATCCTCTATTGATGAAGTAATCAATCAGTTATGACTGAACTACTTATTTCCTCAATAAGTTTTATACCTCATTCAAGGGTTGATCTGTTGATGTTTAGCCGTTAATGTTTTATAAAAGCAAATTTTGTTAATGCTTTCTTGGATGGTAACAGATGTTATTAACTCTCTGGTGATGTTCATTTAGTCATCACACTTGTGTAGTTCACTGTCAAAACAGACTGGAGACCATAGTCCTAAAGAGTCCGAAATTTACCCACTAATATATTGATATTCATTCATTCATTCATTCATTTACTTTTTGGCTTAGTCCCTTTTAATCTGGGGTCGCCACAGCAGACTGAACTGCCAACTGATCCAGCATATGTTTTTTACGCAGCAGATGTTCTTCCAGCTGCAACCCATCATTGGGAAACTCCCATACATTCTCATTCACACACAAACATTACAAAATACACCTGTACTGCATGTCTTTGGACTTGTGGGGGGAAACCGGAGGAAACCCACACCAACATGGGGAGAACATGCAAACTCCACACAAAAAATGCCAACTGACCCAGCTCGGACCTGTGACCTTCTTGCTGTAAGGTGACAGCACTACCTACTGCGCCACTGCATCGCCAATTTATTGATATTTCTTTTTCTATTCTTTAAAAAAAGGCAAACATAAATAGTAATGAAAGACATATTACATGCAATGGATGTAAATTTAATATAATTTGACATAATTCACATCTATCTATAATCTATTGTAAACTTTTCACAGAAAATTAGAAATTTTTCACAGAATTAGAAATTTACATACAAAATTTTCACATATAAAAAAAATTATATGACCTAACGTGTATTTACACACTGCTTCCAAAACTTTCCTTTCATAAAAAATAGTATCGGGTTTGATTATCAATATTATATATAGGTACACATACATTACCATCTATTTAGTATTGTGAAAACTCAAAGCTGAAAATTTGTGGTTAAAACTCCTCTCAACGGTCAAAGGCTGCTTGCGCATCAACTATCGTCGCCACAGCGGCAAAGGGAACAAATTGAAGTGGTGACTGTATGTGTGTGTGTGTTAATATATATATATATATATATATATATATATATATATATATATATATATATATATATATATATATATATATATATATATAATTTTTTTTTTTTTTTTTCACATACGTAAAGCTTTTGGAGAGGTGTTTTGACAATTCAGAGCCAAAACACGTGCAAAAGCCAAGATCCTAAAAACATTACTGAACTGATTCCAAATGTTTTTCTTTTTTCTTTTTTACTTTCTAGCAATGAATTGGTTAATACGCATTAGACTATGTGCAAGAGTTCTGTGCTTGACTATTTTTTAAGATGGTACTATGAAAAAACGCAAACGCAAATTTTCCGACTTCAGACCATTACTCAGTATTAAACAGAGTTAAGTGTTATTTGAGAAAGATTGGAGCATCATTTTTTTTTTACAGAAAAATAGGTAGATCTATTAGTGAAATCACTTCACTTTTGCAGATTTATATTTTAGTTATTGGTTCAAAAGATTTTTTATTTATTTTTTATTTTTTCCGGCATACCCATAACTCAAAAATATAAAAATTATAACATCATTATTAAATTTAAATTTACATAACATTCATGGTGTGTTCTGTAGACTATAGAAAAAAATATAGCTAATATATAGCTAAAGGGGCTAATAATTTTCACATTAAAATGGTGTTCAAAAAATTTAAAACAGATTTTATTCAAGTCGAAATAAAAAATAAGACTTTCTCTAGAAGAAGAAATATTATTATCAGACATAGTGTAAAAATTTCCTTGCTCTGTTAAACATCATTAACTAATTAAGTCTTTAAATGTCACTTTAAGCTGTATAGAAATGTCTTGAAAAATAATAAATATTATTTACTGTCATCATGGCAAAGATAAATCAGTTATTAGAAATGGGTTATTAAAACTATTGTGTTTAGAAATGTGTTGAAAACATCTGCTCTCCTTTAAACAGAAATTAGGGAAAAAAATTAACGAGGGGAAATAATTCAGAGGGGCTAATAATTCTGACTTCAACTGTATAAATATAGTGTTGTTATATGTCTGAAATGCAAACGACATTAAAACTAAACTCTCTCAGTGGTTTGTTAAACTCAAAAACTTTTCTCATTCAGCCACACTGAAGTTCATAAATCTCTGGAAATGAACAATAAAGGTAACAAAAAACTTAGATATCAAAGGAAAAAGATTTTGGGTTAATGCCCAATTTATCATATGATATAGAAGTTACAGGCTTGAAAACCTAGATAAAACACAAGATATAACTGTTTCTGTTTTATATCTCCCATTTGCTAAAGTATGATAAAGATGTCTTTACCAGCAGTCAAGTGAAGTAAAAATAAAATAAGCACAGAATAGCCATTTTTTCAAAAGTAATTTTAAAAGCCCTGTAACTTGGCTCCAAATCTCAGGTAAAAAAATAATATTTAATATTAATCTTCCTTCCTTCCTTCCTTCCTTCCTTCCTTCCTTCCTTCCTTCCTTCCTTCCTTCCTTCCTTCCTTCCTTCCTTCCTTCCTTCCTTCCTTCCTTCCTTCCTTCCTTCCTTCCTTCCTTCATTCATTCATTTTCTTTTTCGCTTAGTCCCTTTATTAGCCTGGGGTCACCACAGCGGAATGAACTGTCAACTTATCCAGCATATGTTTTGAGCAGTTAATGCCCTTCCAGCTGCAACCCATCAATGGGAAACATCCATACTAATATTAATATAATGGAAACAATTGTGGATTAGTCTTAGGGTTGCCAGGTTTTTGCAAAAAAACTACCCCGACGGTCAATAAAACCATCTCTTCAATTCCAAAACTAAAAAAAAAAAAATTAAAATAAATAAAAAATAATAAAAATACAATTATTCTTTTTCAGAAATAAAGTTAGCAACACCTCTGTTACCTTTGAAATGTCAGTCATGGCGCATTTTCTCCGGTGGAGCCTTTGCACCTCACAAAACTGTGCTTGCTTACCCTCTTTCAACATTCCTGTAGTTTTAAATCATTGAGAGGATATATATTTGGTAGAGTTTTTTTTTTATTTTTATGCAACCATATAAATATAATTGACGCATTATGTCAAACCCATAAGTTAACATATGGAATTAAAAAAAAAAAACATTGCCAAGTGGTTAACAGTAGCCTAATTCCACAGGAAAACACCTTAATTACATCCATGACACATTTTGGCTTTCTTTACTATTTATGTTTGCGTTAAACAAATACTCGACCAAATTATCAACCATTCATATCATAAACTTTTCATAATTCATAAACTTTCGAAAACTTTGCTCTTCATCACAGGTGTGCCAATTAGTGTGTGTTTGTGTGTGTGTGTGTCTACTTTGCATTACTGATGTTTTCGAGGTTCACCCCTTTACTGCTGTTGGTTGCTTTTTGTATGTGTATCGGTGTTGATTTGAAGAATGTTTCCCCTTCCTCCATTCTCAATATTCACTAAATGCTTGCTACAGTTTTGAAGAAGGTTGGATTTTTAAATGTTTGTTTATCTTGTCTAAAATAACTGAACAACACCAGAGAGTTAAATTACACTGATAACATTTCCATGGTAACCACCATCCATTGCCAAATATAACCAAAATGATCACGATTAGGCTTCAATAAAGCGCAAGTATGTTTAATATACACTCCCATTTAAATATTTGGGGTTAGTATGTTTTTTTTTTAATTGTTAATTTTTTTTGACAACTTTTACTCATTAAGGACACATTTATCAAAAGCGGCTCCAGTAATTTACAGTTTAAAGTTTTTTTGTTTTAAACACTGCTCTTCTTTTTCTGTTCTTATCAATGGATCCTGAAAAAATATATCGGAGTCATGTCTAAAGTGACCGTGAAGACTGGAATAAAGATAACAGATAACATTAATTATAGTAATTTAAAAATACACATGATTTATTATAAAAAAAGAAAACAAGTGTGTGTGTGTGTGTGTATGTGTATATATATATATATATATATATATATATATACACACACACACACACATATATACATATACATACATATACATTTCTTATGCCGAGTCCAGCTAGTGAATTGCTGTGCAGGTAAGCCTCCCTCCTCTGACCTCTAAAACTGCTCTGGCAACAGACGCTAGAGGCCGTGGTCATTAGCGTCCTTGTTAGAGCAACCGACTCCCATACATAAAATCGTTGATTCCAGCTCAGACTGGCTTAGGTGCAGTAGGACCTGTGGTTTACACGTGGGGGCTCGTCCAGGATGGGAGTAAGGTTTAAGGGGGCCGGGTTTAACAGAGACCAGCTAGTGAAGTGCTATGCAGGTAAACCTCACTCCTGACCTCTAAAGGTCCTATAGCGACAGACACTAGAGGCCATGGTTTTTAGCCTCTTTGTTAGAGCAACTGACTCCCATACACAGAATTGCCGTTTTGATCCCAGCTCAGTGCGGGCTGGGCACAGTAGGACCGGTGGGTTACATGTGGGGGCTCGTCCGGGATTGGAGTGAGGTTTAGGGGGGTGACTGTAATGGAGCCCAACTCGCGAAGTGCTATGCAGGTACACCTCACTCTTCTGACCTCTACAGGTGCCCTAGTGACCGACGCTAGAGGCCAAGGTCTTTAGCCTCCTTGTTAGAGCAACTTACTCCCATACAAAGAATCGCTGGTTTAATTCCAACTCCGAGTGGGTTGGGTGCAGTAGGACTGGTGGGTTATATCCCCAGGTGACCCACTTATAAATACATACCAGCCCCAAAACCGGTTCAATGGTAGTTTATATTAGTTTGAGTTGTATCATGTCATTGTATTGAAAACTAAAACATTAGGACATTATTTTTTTTTTAAAGATTTAGGAGATTTTTTTAGACTTGTACTAACATAAGTCACACAATAAAAAAATCCAGTTCCAAAGAGACATCTTTCTGAATCCATGTTTATTTCAATCTCCACATTACAGCCACAGAAATCACACTCTCATCTCCAACCAAGCGAAAGTCAACATCACAAACACCTCCATCCTCTCGTTCATTCACTCAATTCTGGACACATCACTGTCAACTTCTCAACAAACAATAATGGTTCCAATAACGCAAGATAGTACAAAGATGATACAAGACATGCATCAAATCTCAACCAATGAAGTGACATGGAGGAAAAAAATTAGGGAAACACAATTTAAAGACCTTAACAAGGCCGAAAGTGTTGTTCTGAAAGGTAAATTGCGTGATCGTCAAAGCCGTACTGAATAATGAGATTATTGTAATGATGCTTTTCTAACACTGAAACATAATAAAGCAAGTGGAGTTTTTTTTTGTTTGTTTATTTTTTATTTTTTTACACATTTTCTTGGGTGTTTAGCTTAATATTCTGGCTTCAAAGCAACAGGCAGTCAGTGAAGTTAGAAAAACAGGAAACGGATAGACCAAAACGAACTCACGTAAAGTCATCGAAAGGAATGTGCAGCGCAGGACGACGCAATGATCCACATCATCTCTCCTGCCTCACAATAGTACAAACACACTCGCTTCTCCACAAAACAATGAAAACGCGTCAATGCAAGCGGGAAACTAAAGCCAAAGGAAATAAACACTGAGAGGTTCTAACTAACTTGATATGAAAGAAAAGACCGAAAGAAATTTGCACGAGACAGCCGATAAAAACAAACTCTGATTGCAGGCGTTTCATTTTGTAGATTTTACATTCGTTGATGCTTCTTTTCCCTCCCCCATTTCCCCAAATATACAATGAATATATACACATTAAACTTTTAAAACAAAAAATCCATTCTTGCTCTTATAAGGTTTTATACCATTTTATCAAAGTCTGATAAGCATTTAAAGGAATGCTCCACTTTTCTTTTGGAAATCGACTCATTTTTCATAAGTCCCCTAGAGTTCAACTTGAGTTTTTACCATTTTTAAATCCATGCAGCCAATCTGTGGGACTGGTGGGGCACTTTTCGCTTAGCTTAGCATAGATCATTACAACAATCATTAGCATTTCACTCAAAAAAACTAAAATAATGTTGTTAATTTTACCATTTAAAGTTTGACACTTCTGTAGTTACACTATGTACTAAGACAAACAGAGATTAAAAAAAAGCTATTTTCTAAGCCCATATCGCCAATTATACTCTGCCGTAATAATCAAGGAATTTTGCTGCCGTAGCATGGTTGCATCAGGCACAATTAAATGCAGCGGCCTGGAAAATAGAAACATTTCATTTTCTGTCAGTCTTACATATTGCAACTACAAAAGAGTCAAACATTAAATAAAATAAGATGCTAACGGTCTAATCCGATTCAATGATTTATGCTAAGCTAATCTAAAAGTGCTCCCGCCAGACCTGGAGATTGTCTAAATTGACTCAGGGGCACTTAATATGAGCTGTTGCCATACTTGGCTCAATGGGCTCTTAGAAGTTTACAACAGAGCCTATTCCCTAAAATAGTTGAGTGTTCCTTCAAAGCGTCTGATTTTTGATGCTTATAATCCAAAATTATCGTTCCTATAAAGAAAGAAACAACCCCGAAATATAATTCAGAAACAATGTTTATCATGAATCAAGACAGTGAAGTTCCCTAGAAACAAGCCTGAATGATAGTCACCAAAGCCTGCAGTCGCATAACTGATAGCGAGAAGCTCGCCATTCCTTTTACGGAAAATTAACAATGGTTTTACTACAAATAAAACATAATGAAACCATGGTAACCACAACTTAACCATGATTAAAGTAGTTTAACAGTTGGTAGTAAAACTGTTTTGTTTATACAAATGATACCCAATATGCCAAACAAAACATGGCTAATGCACTTTTTCTATAATAAAACCATGGTTAATTTTTGTAATTTTTGAGTCATGTACTGTGAGGCTTAAACAGGAACAACGTCGCCGTAAAGTACCGCCATGTAAGCTTATAGTTGCGAGGTCAGCGAAAAAGACCCCATCCCTGACCCGATGAAGAGAACCACGGCGGTCAACCATTAAGCTTCGCGTTTTAAAAACTTCAATTTCTGCGTATAAAAACGGTACATAAAAAATATACGCTTTGTGCAGTACAAGTTAGTGCAATTACATTTTTTTCCCTCTTGTTCTTCTCATTGGCACTTAGTGAAGGTTGTGATTATGAGAGGGATGCTCTTTCCTTTCTGACCATGGTGAAAGAGAAGACAAAGCTGCTCTAAGCTGTGATTGAACTACATGATTTGATAGTTTCAGACATTTGGCAATGTGTTTTGAATCTGAACTGCTACGTTTGTCGGAAGCTACGATTTGAGTGCCTGTTTTGTTTTGGTTCTTTAAAAGCTAAAACAAGATTAAAAGGGATAGTTCACTTAAAACTGAAAATTTCAGAAGAGATTTAAAAAATGGTGAAAACCAGTAAACATTAGCATCTATAGTAGGGACAAAAAAAAAGGTAATAAAAAAAAAATTGTTCAACCGGATAAAGAAAATCAAACAAGTATTGAAGGAGTGGAGGTTGTGTAAATAATGACAGAATTTTATTTTTAGGTGAACTATCCCTTTAAGGGTACATTTACACAACAAAAGTGCTAATGTTTATCAGGTGACTTTTAAAAACTTTGAAAATTATTCGTTTTACACAAAATGATTAGCTAAAAATGCTATTTTCTGTATGCCAGGCCAGTAGGTGGCGATGTTTGTGTGCAAACAAACACAACGCATCTTATATGGCATGTTCTAAACATGATCTATCGCCCTCCTAAGGGCACTCTGAAGTGAAAACAATCATGACCACCATATTGAAGTGTCGATCCAAACTAGCTACTTTAAAGAGGGCCCTTTAAAATAAAGGATTTTAAAGTGTACAATTCTTGCACATTTTGGGACCCCATGATCATTTGTGCAGGAAATTTGCCTGCTGTCAAAAAGCACATTACCATCGAAAAGGATCATCCCTATGCCCTAATCCAGTGGTGTTAAAAGTGATATTGCAGAAAAAATGGTATTGTCAAACATGTTTCATATGCGTTCAGTCTGTGGTGATGTGAGTATTCAACATTGCTGAACTACAGGACTTCAGTATCAGCGAGTTAAATTTGAAAGGGTTCATCATCCCTATGCCATAACATCATTTCAAAGGGATTAGGGTACAGGTGTCACACTCAGTTCCTGGAGGGCCGCAGCCCTGCACAGTTTAGTTGCAACCTTGCTTCAATACACTAACCTGGAGGTTTTAAATCAAGGATGACAGACTCAATTAGTTTGATCAGGTGTGTTTAATTTTGGGTAAAGCTAAGCTGTGCAGAGCTGCGGTTCTTCAGGAACTGAGTTTGGCACTTATCCTCTAATCCCCTTGAAGAGATGTTAGGGCATTGGGATTATGAGCTCTTCCGAATGGAACCTGCTGATACTGGAGTCCTGTAGTTCAGCATTGATGAATACTCACGTCACCACAGGCTGAACACATACGAAACATGTATGACATCACCATTTTTTCACAATATCTCTTTTTACAGTTTACATGGAGATGGTGACAGATTTGTGTTTCCAAGACCCTAAACCGGCGTTGTCAAAAAACGCATGAAACGTCGTTGTGTAAAGATACCCTGAATCTTCTTCCCTGGATGGTGAAAAATATCAAATGCATTGCTGGAGCAAAATGTTTTGGCATTCTGCTGAAGTTCAGAGTTTCTTTATTACAAGAAACTCTGAACTTCAGCAGAATGCCAAAACATTAGTATGCCTAAAATGAGTAGCTGAATTTTTGAGTGAACTCCTCCTATAATAACCTCCGACCTTAAAGCTACAGTTCACCCAACATTTGTCAATGATGACAGAAGGGCCATTTTGGCATGAACTGTCCGTCCTTTTAATAATGCAGGTCACATTCATATGTCAGTGTTTGATGGGTTCACTGTTTCTTCCTCAGTGTTTTTTGTTGTTTTTTTTACAGTGTTCGGTATTATTAAAAATACCAAAACATTCTTAAATTGAGAGACATTTACTTGAGAAAAAAAATAACTTGTGATATTAAGGCAAATATATCATAATCAGTATATCCACAGCAAACGATGATAACATTGGGTTTATTATAAGTGCACGCGGGGAAGTTTTATTGTTTGTGGCTTTAAATGCTCGGCTGTTTATAGCATTATGGATTCTGACTGTCTGACAACACTGTAATAAATGCTGGGTTTCACACAATTCCTTCATGTTGTCCCAACAGAAATGGATTAAGTTAACCTCATTGTTTTCAAAAATTTAGGTGGATTGAACATAAAACAATTAAGTTGTCACACAAAACACTTATGAAGTGTGTTGTTTTAACTCATTTTATATACGAAGAAGATATATATACGAAGATATATTTGAAGAAGAAGCAAAAGTCATTTTTTGAGTAAAGGTTTTACCATAACGCTACACTGTAAAAAATGTTGGGCTTCCACACAATTCGATTTGTGTTGGGACACCATGAAGGAATTAGGTCAGTTCATTAGTTATTACAAATTTAAGTCGATTCAACATAAAACAATTAAGTTTTCGCCAAAAACAACTTGAGAAGATGTGTTGTTTCAACAAATTTTAAATAAGTCGTTTAAACAAACAACAAAAAAAGTCTTTATCGTTATATGCTCAAAAAGGTGTTGAACAGAACAGAATTCAATTAAGTGAATCTTTTTCTTGTAATTTAATTTAAGTATTTCAACTTTTCATAATCGTTTCAACTTATTTAAAACGTATTTTACGTAAATAACCACTAAACCAAATACATTTTGAACCGATCATGTCAAATCATTTTCATTTAAATGACCAGAATTCTCATTATTGGTGTGAATTCTCTTAAAGAGACAGTTTTCCCCAAAATGAAAATCACCTCATAATTTATTCCTCTTCAAGTGGTTTTAAACTAAAAGAAGATATGTCAAAGAGTATTGGTTGCTGCCTTATACTACATTAATAATGTCATTTGTGTTCAACAGAGGAAAGCTACTCAAATAGTTTGAGTAAATGATAGCAAAATTCACTTTTTTATGTGAACTATCCCTTTAAGTCTGCTTAAGTTTGCCTTTAATTGGCATTTGTTTCATGTTTTAATCACCAACAGCCTTGATTGCTATCTAATTAAAGTCAAAAACATTTTTAAATATTTCCCAAATAATGTTTAACAGAGCAAGAAATTTCCACAGTATTGTCTGATAATATTTTTTCCTCTGGAAAAAGATTTTTTTCCGGCTAGAATAAAAGCAGTTTTTAATAAAAATAAAAAAAAAAACATTACAAAACAAACCCATTTTATAATGCCTTTCCTAATTACCTTAGTTAAGCCTTCAAATGTCACTGAATACTAGTAACTTGTAAAATATCTGGTCAAATATTATGTACTGTCATCATGGCAAAGATAAAAGTCAAAATCAGTTATTAAAAATGTGTTGTTAAAATTATTATCTTTAGAAACGTAGAAATCTTCTCACCAAACAGAAATTGGGAACAATATTAAAAGGGGCTAAAAATTCTAACTTTGTTGCACATCTTTAGACGCAGTTTTTATATGTGCAGTTTACGCTTTCAGTTTACACAAAGAAGATGACAGTGTAGTTTAAAAAAAACTCTCAGGCCTTAAAAAAATCAAGTTACACAGACTTAATCACTATTATTTTCAAAATCAAGCACTTTGAAACTTCAAAAGTTTAGATTTTTCCCAAATGTGGCCAAAATTCATTAAGAATATCTCAGTTTTTAAGTGAAAATAGTGTTGTGTAAATGCCCGCTACATGTCACTTTTGTTCTCAAGTAAAAGGTTCTTGATTTTAGTATTTTTAGATATTCGTCTTGGAAAACGGAAAAAAATCTATCAGTTCCAACAGCTCAGATCTGCTCCGCTTATACTGAGAATATGAGAGTGCACATAGGACACCAGCCCCAAATGATCACCCTCCAAATGAAAAGAAAACACAGCTTTCAGAGCATGCACTTTCATTGTGGGAAAAACATCCGTGCGCTGAATGAGAAGCAAATGATTTTTTAGGAAGCACAAAAAGACTCGAGGAAAACACTTAGATTTATGAATCACATTAGACTGGGACAGCAGGTGGTCGGTTTAAATGTGAAGTGCGAATTAATACTGTGGACTGACAGGAATAAACCTCATAGCTTATAGAGAGGCAGTTGATCTGTGAGGGACAGAGTATTTCCGGTGCAGAGATAGAGAGACGCCATTTTACATTCCTGCACTTCAAGTGCACAGACGCCTCTATCTCTCTCTAAGGCTCTTTTGGAGGTATCACTTTTGTCAGAAACGCTCACAGGGAACGCGCCGACTGTACTCTGCTTTATTTCAATGATTTTAATGAGCATTAAAAGTGCTTATAGGCAAAATAAAGCGGTAAGTACGGAAATGTGAGCCGATTTGAATTTGAGCGAGGGTTAACTGTTGAAAACACTCAATAAAAATAGCTTAGAGAACAGTAAAAACATTGTATAAAGTCTGCCACAACTAAAACGACGGAAAATGGTTAGCTGTATTCCACGTGAAATATGAAAATACGCCGTTTTCGTTTCTGGATTACTTTAGAAAAATACTTCGTTTCGCTTTAATATGCAATGCAGCAAAAGCTTTTTTTTTTTTCAAAAATTGTTTTCGCTTTTTCAGCTTTTTATCCGTGTTTTTTGTTTTCTAAATAAAGTCTCAGTGTTCCACTATGGAAGCGTTAGAAAAAGAGCCCCCCCTTGTGGCCTGAAGGAATCAAAAGGCCACACACGTCAGATGAACATCATCTCAGCTCTAGTCCACAGTGAGAGTAGCAGGAGCTTTCAGTGCTCATTCCTTTGGAACAACCGCATATAAAGAGCAGAAGTGTGGGGTTAAAGAGGGACTCAGTCAGTGAAGCGCTGGCAGGCCTTCTTCCAGCGGCACGCTGTGCACCATAGGTCCTTCTTCTCCATGCCATACACCTTCCGACATTTCTTGGCTTCACCGCGGGGTTTCCTGGAAAAAATATTACATTTGAGTAAGCGGTAATGAAAGACTCCTAAAAAACGGACTCAACTGAAAGTACAAAAACTGAATAAAAATTATACGCAAGCCCTGGTCAGATCACATGATCACATTTGTCATGATTTCACCACAATTTCCTTGATGTAGGGTGTTGTGGGGATTTGTAAACGACAAATGGGCGTCATGACACATGAATGTGAATGTGGCAAAGTTCATGACAACCGATACCATGCCTGTGACGGCTCACGACACCATCGCAGAAAGTCTTGCACGTTTCATTTTTTATTCTCGTTCTTCATGATGACTTCCGTCAAGTGGGTGACACTGTGCAATAGGAGCACACCATTTCTCGGTTATATCAGGGGGTGCTGCTGTTAATGCGCTGGTCAGATAATCTAAAAATAGGCTACATGTTTACTTATGGGTGGGTCACGAGTGGATAAGATCAATCATTGATTATGCAAACTTTATTTTTCTAAAATATTAAAGTCCTTTAAGCAATTATATCTGACAGACTGGCACAAATACGCAGACATCTTCATTCTCACAATCAGAGTTCTCTCATCCTTCCAACAGAGTTTATACTTCCAAGGTATTCTACGAACATGTTCAGTGGTGTGAATACATAGTAAAAGCGTTTCCTGCTTATTCAAATTTATCATTAATAGTGAAAACTGTTCAGGCTTCTCTGGAACAGTGAATATTTCAGTTTAATTTCATTTAGACTAGATTATTCTATTTAACTAACCATCACAATCTCAAGACAATTGGTGTTTTGGTGCATATAGCGGACTTGTTTTAAAGCGCATCACCTCAAATGTTATTCATTATTCTTGTTGAGAGATGACTGGGCAGCAAAAGATACATTAAAATAAAGATAAAAATGATACTAAACGAAATTTGTTTCTAAAAGATATTTTTTCCAAGAAAAATATATGAATTATATTTTTGTTTGTTCCTCTCCTCTACTCAACCAAACGATTGAATGATTTGTTTTGCTCTGACGAAAATAAGGATTTATTGAATGCTTCACTGTGAGTGTATAACAAATCTCAGATATATATTGGCTATTTTTTTAAACATCATTATTTTAAAGATTATGTCTTGAGCATCTGATTTTTCCACAGTGCTGATGTGCTTTCATTTCTACATCTCACTCGTGGTTTAATCCTATCCATGTCATAAGAATGCCCTTAAATAATGTAGTTATTAGTTGTCAGCAAGCATTAGTGTTTATTGAGATTGAAATAAGATAAAATTGAAATTGAGATGAGAAATATTGTTACAGCAACACTTGTGACTGCTTTGAGAAATAAAGCTTGTCATAGACGTCATGGGATGACTGATCATGAAGGAATGTTTAGTCTGGCACATTTGTTACCCACAAAAACTTGAGTTTGTAAAAAAAATAAAAATAAATAAATAAATAATAGCATAATCTGACATAGTGACTTTCATAACCAACAATAAATATTGTGTGATCTGACCGGGGCTTTAATTACAAATGCAAGTATGTGGCCTGTAAAAATATTAGAGTTAGAAATAAAACAAGTTTCGCTTAAAATAAAATTTTTTTAGATGTTAGTAGCACTATGTTAGTTTTAAAGATGGCTATAACTTAGTGTGCTCGAAATAAAGTGACATAATTGGCGTCAAAAAGATATAAAACTGACTTGCAGTTTGTCACTTCCGCCTAAATGGATCAATGTTTTTTAATTCACCTCATAGTCTCTCAACAAATCTTCTGACCAATCAAATGCTCTCTAGTGTCTGACATGCCCCACCCCCTTTAAGTCGATTCTCATAGACTTGGTCGGGGGAGAGCGGAGACGAAAGTAACGTGGGACGAAAGTAACACTGATTTTCTCAAAGCCCTGACATCTGCTTTCTAGGCTATAAGAGCACATTTAACATGTAACCCCTGATGGAGCTGCCAATTATCATGTGATTTTGGGTACAGCAACAAAGTTTTGTATACTGCCAAATAAACATACGGAAGCCAAAAGTTTGACCAGCTGCTCCATTTTGCATTATAAAACATAGCTCTTTGTCCTGCACGTCGCATATTGTGAAAATATTCTATGTTTTTTGGTTTAATTGCTGCATTAAGCAAATGTGCATGTTCTTGCCTTTTATGTGAGCCCTTTATTCATTTATAGTGTAGTTTTTTCACCTATTTGACAGTTGGCAGTCTAAAATGTGGATTTCCTCAATTTAAATTCCATGTAAAATAAAGACATTATATTAAAATATGTTACAATTGTGTTTTCTAGAAGGATACGGAGGACATAAACATTATGACTGGCAGAATACTGCCGTTATTAAGCTAGACTCAGTTTCGCGATATGTTTTAGGGTTATATTGTCCCACATTTAATTTGTTTGGTGATGGTCATGCTAGAAATCAGTGTACAGCTGAAAAAAAAATCCCTGTCAGATTATGCCTCAACTGGATTATCAAGGTGGATTATTCGATAGTAACAATAATATTTGGAAGAGAAATGGCTTGGATTAGTCAATCAGGGTGAGAATTCAAGAAAGGAATGCTTAATATCTTGCAGGGTTGTCATTTTTGGTGTTAAAGGTTCATGACACCCCCACTTTTCAAGTCTAACTCAGAATTCTTTCAAAAGATGCATCATAATGGGCGTGGAGCTCTGCGAGCAAAGGGTGTGGCCAGCTGGGGAGAAGGAGGGGAGCAAGCAACTGTTGTCAGTTAGCTCACAAAACGGGACACAAATCGAGAGGAGACGCATGATTTATAGTCAACAAAGTTAAAATGCAAAGAAATAAATCGTAATTTAATGCCCTGCTACATTGGTTATTCGTAATTTCATATACAGATGACCACAATTTATATAATTATAAAGATAATCGTGTTCATATAAACACTTTAAATGAAGACTTTTCCCTCAAAACCCAGGTCTGAATCATAGGTCTGAATGCAGACTCAGTGCAGCAGGTCTCTTGCCCTGTCTATTTCAACCAGTAGCCCAGTTGGTAATCTAAAGGATTTAAGCAAACACAGCAGCACGGCGATGTGTCTAAATGTCAACGAGTTCCTGATAAAGGACAACGTCAGGCATTCTCCAATTCTCATACTGCTCTCCCGACAAAAATGCTTGTTCCACACAAACAGCTTTGCTGTATCGGCCCTGACAGCATCGCGGGAAAACATGCAACAAACTCTGTGGTTCATGGAAACAAACACATACGACCCTTCATAAACAGCTAAATACTGTGTGCTGTGGGTTTGTGTCTCACAGCTTGGCACTGGTCTGCCTTGCCTTCAGAGAGCACGTGCAGTCATGAATAATTAAGAAGCAGGCTCTTCTCATAGGATAAGAAAACTCCGCTATGAATAATAACGAGAAACCGATGCGTCATCTTTGCACTTGCCCCAAAAATTCTTTTAAACCCGGAAGCTGAAATTAGCTGACAAAAGCTTAAAATTATCCAGTTTTTCCCACAATTAAAGCTGACAGGTGCTAACGTTGTCTTAACTGATGCTCAACACACACAAATCTGTTACAATCTCTAAAAAGTACTTGAGGGTTTTGTGAACCTTTAAAACACACAGCACAGATTAACTGCAGATCACCTAATAACAATGTGCGCTAGTGAAATAAACACTGTGACTTTTGATTTCACATGGATTTTCACACGGGTTACCTGGTTCCAGTGGTGGGTTTGGAAGTGGAGGTGCTGTTGGTGTGTGTTTTGCTGACAGTGGTGTGGTTAACAGGTTGTCTCTTCTCACCGATGCTGACAGTGCGGATTTGAGTCATCGGGCCCTGAAAAAAAAAACAATACAAATCCTGTTAAAGGTAATCAAACTCAACAAACACAACCAAATATGCTGACACCTGTGGTTCTGTAAGAGAGGGAAATTTGGTGATGAGCATAATGGTATACTGATGAACATTTATTTTACATTCTACAATATTTATATTTTGTAATATTTTTTAAAATGCTGGGTTCCACACAATTCCTTCATGTTGTCCCAACACAAATCAATTAAGTTAACTCAATCATTTTTATAATTTATGTAGATTGAACATAAAACAATTAAGTTATCCCCAAAAAAGCTTTAAAAATGATGTTGTTTCAACTTATTTTAAATACGTAATTTAAAGTAACAGCAAAAGTCATTTTTTGAGTATGAAATGTGGTGTCGTTACTTTAAAACATCTGAAGTTTTTATACATATGTTGTTTAGTTTTGTGAAAACAAAACTAAAAGGTCCTGTTTAATTCAAATTTAAAGAATTCAGAGTTTAATTTCTATTGTCTTTGCATTTGGATTGATGTGAATTTTCACTATTAAATCAAGTAGTGAAATTACTCTTTACTACTAATTTACTTTTTAGTCATTAGAAAAGTCTATTTAAATACAATTTGTCAGTCAGAATTTTTTGCAATTTCTGCACAATTCTGCAGAATGATTTTGAGTAAAATAACTAAAAACTAAAAACATATATATATATATATATATATATATATATATATATATATATATATGTTTGATAAATAATGCCTCAGATCTACTAAAAGACAGAAAATATTACTTTACAAACATTCACATATTATTCAATAACATTACTGAAATTAATATAAAAACAGAAAAAATATATGTTTACACACATTTACATAATAGTAAATAAATAGGATTAGCACAACTTAAAGAAGTGTTCATAAGACTCTCATGATAATCATAATATGAGATTTTATGCTTGCTTACGACAACTGTCAAGGGGTCATTTGCTCAGTTAAATGCAAAGATGGCGATGTTTCTAATGACAATTAGACATAAAAAAATACATCACAACCAGTCTTCATCTTTGTCATTACAATTTGACATTATTATGATAACATAACTTGTCATAAACCTGTCATAAACATGATGAACAGGATATTTTTCTGATCACCTTTTCAGTGAAAAACTGTATATGTCATTTCAATGTCTTTGCCGAATAATTTGTAACAGCGTCATTAATATTTAATGCTGACAAGCTGACAAATTCAGCTTTTACCACTGTAGTTAAGGTCAAAAATATTAATAATGCTGCTACGAAATTCATAACACATTTGTAATGGATTTATCATGTTTATAACATATTTATGACAAGTTTTGCTGTCTTGGTAATCTTAGTTTTTTTCTGAGAAAAACATGTTGTGGATTTGTTTATGTCAAGTTGTCATAACACAAAGTCATGTTTGTGTTGAAAATGTCATAACTGAGCATATCAGTTTTCATAAGCATGCATAATGACATGTCATGATTATGAAGGTTTAATGGCAGTGTTATGAACACCCTTTCAAGTAAAGTGTTACAATAAATGGTTTGAATGAAGGGCTCAAAATCTGCAGAAATTCCATGTTGGCCAAGTAATAAATTACTTTTATGAATATTTACCCATCATGCACCTAATTAGTTCAGATTAAACTGTGTTTACCAGATGTCTCTGTTGTCAGCTTGTAACAGAGGTTTGAAGTCTGCTTTACTGCATTTTTGCAAAAGCATCTGAGACAGGAAACCAAAAGTCATGCAAGTGCAACTTCTGAAAGACCCCGAGAGTCAGAGAAAAACGGAACTCTTTTTAGCGCTTCATGAGTTACCAGCTGAAAAAAAGGAGGAAGTGTAAGAAAACAAGAAAGGAAAGAGAGTAGCATCTCACCGGTGGACCTTTATAAATGACAGGGGGTGACTGCCAGGATACACTAATCCTATCCTCACTGTGAGGCGGGCATGAAGGCATGCTGGGAATGCTGACAGGGGTTGTAGCCTGAAAAACACAGTAGGTGTGTGTAAGAAGCGGTATTAGCAAAGCCAGCAGAGGGAGAAAGAAAATACACTGTTAAGAGGATAGTTCACCCAAACGTGAGCATTTACGCACTATTTACTCTCCCGCATGCGCTGCCAAACCTAATTATTCTGTTAAACACCAAAAAAGATACTTTGGAGAAAGCTGAAAACCTGTAACCATTGACCTCCATAGTATTTTCTTTTCCTACTATGGAAGTCAAATGGCTCCTAAATTGTATTCACAATTAAAATTAGAGTGTCTCAAACCGTAGTGTGTTGAAAAGATGATGCCAAAAGTTCCAGGATGGTCTACTATTTCTGGAAGAAGTTTGAAGTGTAGAACGGTTCATACTCTAACCCAGTGGTCACCAAACTTGTTTCTGGAGGGCCGGTGTCCTGCAGATTTTAGCTCCAACCCTGATCAAACACAGCTGAACAAGCTAATCAAGGTCTTACTAGGTATACTTGAAACATCCAGGAAGTTGTGTTGAGGCAAGTTGGAACTAAATCCTGCAGGGACACTGGCCCTCCAGGACCGAGATTGGTGACCCCTGCTCTAACCGCTAATGTTGCAGACAATGCATAGCTTGCTGCAACTTGAATTCGATTAGAACTTCAAACTCAAATTGTAAAAAATTACTAACATAGTGGACATGCGAGACAAACCGTTTTTATCAACATAGGCTCATTCTGCAAAGATAGTACTATATACGTTTCAGGAGATTGCAAATTATGTAGTCAGAGGTACATATGGCATATTTCATTTTTAAAATAAACAAAAAGGGGCGGTATGACGCATCAATGACGGGGTTCGAGTCCAGTGAAGAACGATTCCAGAAAGCGGGTAAAACAATAACAAAAAATAAAATAAAGCAGTAAATAATAGTGTGAATGTAGTAAAATTTGAAAATGTGGTAAAAATCAGCCGAGGGCTTTTCCTTTTCTGGATTGCATTTTAAAATTGTTAATTGGGTTAGGGAAAATGGGTGGTCGGGTCAATCGGTGCTTTTGAAAATACTATTGGTTGGGTTTAAGGAAGGAGCAGGATGGGTCAGTCGATCAGTCAGTCAGTCAGTGAGTCAACCAGTCATTCAGTCAGACAACAGCGGCCTCTCGTGGATTTACACTAGAACAACAGTGCAACGTGACTTCCAGTTGGCAACGAGATGAAGTAGACGTGTGCCTGTTTTCCCCTTCTGAATTTTATTCACTTAAAAAACCTATTGTTTTTCAACTAAATACAAAAATAGCTAAACTACTTATAAATAACAGTATTTATAAAGGATGGCATCTAAATCTGCGAAAACATCCAAGAAAGAAGCTAAGGTAAAAGCTGAATCACCCGCGGCAAAAGAAGAAGTGAACATGACGGCTCTGTCAGATTTGCTGGAAGAGCATAGAATGGCCTTGGCGAGTTCAAACAGCCATTTCAACATTGAAATCGTAACTTGACTGTGTTCAAACCATGGTATCCACTCAAAGACAGAGACTTCCCTCATTAGAATCTCATGCGGAGACGCTGGATGAGCGCGTGGAACGGCTTAAAACTTCCCTCTCAGCAGTAACAGAGAGCAACGCAAAGCTAAAAGCCAAAACTGCTGATCTAGAAGCACGATGCAGAAGAAACCACATAAGGATCATTGGCATGAGTTGATAGAGGGCCACGGCCAACCCCATTTTTCTTAGAGTTACTTTTTGAAGTTTTCAGAGTGCAGATTTTACCTTCTCCCCAGAGCTCGACCGTGCGCACAGATCCCTCATCGCCAAACTGAAACCAGGAGAAAGACCACTTTCGTGGTCCGCTTTCATCGATACCAGCTAAAAGATAAAGTAATTCGCGTGGCACGTAAAAAGCGAGGCGAGCTATAAAATCAAGGCAAACCAATTGCCATCTTTGAAGACTATAGTCCTGAAGTAATGGAACAACATGCTCAATACCGCAAACTCATGGCTGTAATGTACAAACAAGGACTTAAACCAGCTCTTTTGTACCTGGCGAGGCTTCGAATAACAAGCAGAGAACAACAGATGCGAAAGGCACTCGTGAGAGAAATTTGAGATCTGAAAAAACATACACAATGGCCTGTTGTGGATTCACAAAAACAAAAACTGCAAAAATAAATGTAGTTGCTGGGACATATTTGGTGCTCTTTAGAAATGTATACAGGGGTATGTTTTCCGAATGAACATGGGTTGCTTTTTATACTCCGCAGAGCTCAATATAAAAGCCCGAAACATTTTAAATTAATTTTTATTTTATACCTTTTTTAACTTTTTTTTTCTTAATTATCCAAAAACCTTAGAAAATTTCTCTGCAAAAAAGACTCTCAAATGGCAAATTGATGAAATGTGGAAGATTGATAGATTGTGTAATAAAGCAACTTAACGATTCATTAATAAGAAAGTAGTATGTATATATGTATATGCATATACTTACAGGATCTAGAATAAGTATGCAAATTGGAATGCAGCAAATGGTTTTCAGTATTTTTCAATTATCTTCTTTTGTGTTCAACTGAAGAAAGAAAGTCATAAAGTTTTGAAACAAGTAATGTGCGAGTACTGATGATGAAATTTTCATTTTTGGGTGAACTATCCCTTTAAGTAGAACCGCACACCATTGATAGTCAAGAGGAGCTGCTACAAAAGACATGATGAGACCACTGAAAACACTCACTGAGCCATTAATACGTCAGCAATTACAGACACACATATATGTCTCTATCTGTGTGTGTGTGTGTCTGACCCCGACGCTGAGATTTAACAGATGCCTTAATGCTTCACGGCCAAAGGTCACAGATATAAATCTCTGTTCGTTTGAAAGATTTCTGAAAGGTCATTTACTTTGGAATTTTTCAAGAAAAATCTAATGTAGCTACACAACAACAACCTACAATTATTTTCCTAATAAAATATCTGAATTTTCTTAAAGCAACATAAGTGCAGTTGTAAGATGTATCTTGATATGAGTTTTCCATATTTGTTGGGAACATAAATTAAACTAAATTTAGTGATGTTTATGCAAAGATAAAACTAGGGTTTCATATTACTATTTAGGACAAAACAAGCTTAGTTTAGGATGGTTAAAAACATTTCTTGAGTAATATTATTAATGGCAATCAACCAAATCCTATGAGAAACATTATGCTAAAAAGATTTTTTCCAGGAGAACAATATAATTTCAATAGGATTTTTGCTAATAAATTGTTTAAAAAAGATGAGATTAAAAAACTGATACTGAAACAAATAAATAAAATAAAAACCTAAAATTGCATTTATCATATGTGCATATAAAATATAGCATCATATATTTTTTGTAATTTAAAATTAATTGGCATAAAAGAAAACCAAATTGATGTAATAATGTATGCAAGACTAAAATGTTACCCTGAGCTTCATGTATTTCAGCAAAAAAAAAAAAAAAAAAAAAAAGAAAACCTTGCACAGATTTATCTAAGACTATAAAAAAATAAGATTGTTTGGTGTCAGGATGGGCATTTTTTAAGGCAAGTTTATAAAAATTACTTAAATGCCCTAATTTATTATATACTAATGTTGATAATATACTAATATACTTATCAATACCCTGTCTGAGAATTTAGGCCAAATCCCTAAAATGACTAAATAAATGCATATATAAAAGCAATGAATAAATAGCTGAATAAATAAACAAGTAACTAAGTATGTACAGTCAAAGTCAGATTTATTAGTCATCCTATTTTTCAAATATTTCCTAAATGATCTTTAACAGAGCAAGGAAATGTTCACAGTATGTCTGATTATATTTTTTCTTCTGGAGAAAGTCTTATTTGTTTTATTTCAGCTAGAATAAAAGCAGTTTTTAATTTTTAAAAAAACATTTTAAAGTCAAAAGTATTTGCCTCTTCAAGCTATATTTTTTCAACTGTCTACAAAACAAACCATTGTTATATAATGACTTGCCAAATTACCATAACTTGCCTAATTTAGCCTTTCAATTGCACTTTAAGCTGAGTAGTAGTATCTTGAAAAATAGTATGTACTGTTATCATGGCAAAGATAAAATAAATTAGTTATTAAAATTATTATGTTAAGAAATGTGCTTCAAAAAATTGAGGGAAAGTATTCAAGGGCCTAGTAATTCTGACTTCAAGTGTATACATGTGGAATATACACACAAATAAACAGTTGAAGTCAGAATAATTTTTTTTTCTCTTTTCAAATATTTCCCAAATGATGTTTAACAGACCAAGAAAATTTTCACAGTAGGTCTGATAATATTTTTTTCTTCTGGAGAAAGTCTTATTTGTTTTTTTCCCGGCTATTATTAGCCCCTTTAAGCTATATTTTTTGATAGTCTACAGAAGAAACCAATGTAACACAATGACTTGTCTAATTACCCTAACCTGCCTAATTAACCTTAAGCCTTTATGTCATTTTAAGCTGTATAGAAGTGTCTGAACTCTTGAGACATCCCAAGTCTCCCAGAAGTTCACCGTGTTCACGATGGTTTCCTTCGGGTGCTCCGGTTACCCTATACTACCCTTATACTATATAGTACGCTAAAATCATTATGTGAGCCGAGTAGATGTCCGAATTCAGAGAATTTGAAAATCAGTATGTGAGAAGTATCCTGATGACTTAATACTTTCGTCGAGATTCTGGAGTGCACATCCCATGCACACTGCACTATCCCATAATGCCCGCGAGAGAATTCATGAGTGGAAGTGAAGTGACGCAACAGATAGAGGTAGGTCGCGTGACCATGATGACAAAATGGCGGATTTAGTACACCTGAATTCCATTCAGAATTTTCACATTCATACTGTATAGAACCTACTTTTTCTAACAGCCGAGTAGTATGTTTAAATTCTAGTTCAGGAGCAGGTGTGTGTTGCATGACAGGACTTGTAGTTCATATGAGACAGGCTTGTAGTCCATGTAAATGTGGATGCTCTTCAGCGATCTACGAAGGTTAGTGATCGTGACAACCATAATAACTCTTTAAAGACAAATTTAACTGGACAACATTTTATTTCAACTTCAAAAGGTCACTTGCAGTGACTTGTACACTTGTAGAGAACTTGTAGGTTGAAATGTCTAAATCAATTTACTATTATTATTTATTATTAAACACACACACACACACACACACACACACATGCACACACACACACACACACACACTGCTGTCACCTGGTAAGCGTGGTCAGTGCGGATATGGCACAGTGCCGAGGGTGCTGATTGACTGAGCGGGGTGTGGATCACGTTGGCAGGTTCAGTTCGGGACACATCACAGGTCAGGACGGGGAACACAGGCGGCGGCCCGGACGTGGTCGGAGACGTGGGCGTGAGGTTAGACAGACCCTCCGAAAGAGTGTCCATGTTCACCTCGATTTCAGAGTAGTAGAAATCCTCCTCGCCATCGCTGTAGTCAGAATCTCCATTTCGCCTGAAAACACACAGACATGATAGTCAGATTTAGTAGACTTGTGTTAGGATGCATAGGTCCACATGGTGTGGAGCGATGTCGCCTCACAGTAAAAAGGTCGCTGATTCAAGCCCCAGCTGGGTCAGGTAGCATTTCTGTGTGAAGTTAGCATGTTCATCCCGCGTTCGTGTGGGTTTCCTCTGGTTTCCCCCACAAGTACAAAGACATGCGCCATAGGTGAATTGGGTAAACTAAATTGGCTGTAGTGTATATGTATGATTAAGAGCATCCGCTGTGTAAAACATATGCTGAATAAGTTGGCGGTTCATTCTGCTGTGGTGAATCCTGATTAATAAAAGGACAAAGGTGAAAAGAAATAAATGAATGAATATCTTGATCTTGTTTATCCCTTTTGTGTCCTGCGTCCATTACAACAGACATTACATATCAGGGTATTTTTTGTTTAGATTTTTTTTTTGAGCATTTAATCTACTTTTAAGTCTGCTGTCCATGATATTGGATGTTTGTCAGCCAATCAAATGGCAGGAGGCTCTGTTTGTTGTAATCTTAATAAAAAATATTCACAATGCTAAAGACAAGCATGGCAGCACTTGGTTCTGAATATAAAAGTAAGCAACGTTTTCAATGCTTTTATTCACATTTATTGAAATATTTGTCAATATTTGATAGATTGCATAGTAGAATAAGGATAGCTTTTACTAATTAAAGTTACAAATAGATTGTAGAGTTGCAAACTTTAAATAAAATAAGGAATTAAAAAAAATATTTTTGTCTTCTATATAATAATAAGCAGGCTATAAAACAAAAACCTCAAATTAAAATTAAAAGTTGTCATTTTTAAGTTTGTGACATTCAAAAGAAACATTATGTAAAGACAACTGTTTTGATATGATGTTCATCGAAATAGACAAAAAATATTAAAGAATGTTGACATTTTTATTATTTTTATTCAGTCTTGTTGATGGAAGCCTTCCTCTTAAACTTGGATCATAATTCTGGTCTGACGGGGTTCATTATTTATCCAATGAAGACATTTTCCATTTGATTTGAAAGCTGGTATTTAAAATTCTAATGGCAGTCGGACATTTGATACACATTTTTTTTTCCTTTTGATTGTAAAAGCTGAAATTTTATGAATGAATGAATTCAGCAAGTCTGCTGTCCATGATATTGGATGATTGTCAGCCAATCAAATGGCAGTAAAGCTCTATCTGTTATATCCACAATGCTGAAGACAAGCATGGCAGCGCTTGGTTCAAAACACAGAATTAAGGAACATTTTCAATGGTTTTATTCACATTTATTGATATATTTGACAATATTTGAAAGATTGAAGAAAAAAGGATTACATTTACTAATTAAAATTACAAATCAACTGTCTTTTTAAAGTCTGCTATTATATAATAATAAGCAGGCTATAAAACAAAAACCTCTAAATTAAAAGTCATTTTGACATGATGTTCACTGAAATAGACAAAAAACAGTTTAAAGAATGCTGACATGTTTATTATTTTCATTTAGTCTCATTGATGGAAGCCTTTCTCTGAAACTTAGATCATAATTCAGGTCTAAAGGGGTTAATTATTTATAGAATTTTCCATTTGATTCTTTATTATTTGTACCTGAATACTGTTAGACACCCCCCAAAAAAACAAAATGCTCTGTTTATTTCATTTTCTATCTTTGCTCTATTATATTCATCTATGCATATCAGGTGTTTATTATGATTTATTCAAATGTACTCTCCTACAAAATCACCTAAATGAATGTTTAAAAAAATGAATTCTTCCCAACTATTCAAATCATCTGATGAAGCTATTCGAGTCATCTGATGAAATTGTATTCGTATCTATCTATCTATCTATCTATCTATCTATCTATCTATCTATCTATCTATCTATCTATCTATCTATCTATCTATCTATCTATCTATCTATCTATCTATCTATCTATCTATCTATCTATCTATCTATCTATCTATCTATCTATCTATCTATCTATCTATCTATCTATCTATCTATCTATCGCAGAAAAACTAAATATTGTAAAGTTTTCCCCCCAAACCGTGCAGCTCTTGTTATATGTACCCGCCAGCAGGTGGCAGCAGTGCCAACATCTTTACCGGCGGCTCTGACTGTAAACATGGGATGGTAGGTAGCAACATGAGGCTATAAAAACACTCTTACTACCGACATCAGAATGTGTTTCCCTCTGTAGCTCCTGTTATGGTGCTCTGAAAGAGTAGCTTACCCTGAGCTGTCCCATGACAGACAGTCCAAATGGCTCTAAATCATCTTCACAACAGAGTTTAGCGGGTTATATGATGCTTGATGATGATTGCCATTTTTCTTCAGGAGTCATTTTCTTAACTGGTGTTCATAAAAGTCAGTTCTCCAAAAAATGAAAACTCATGTTCAGGCCATCCCAAATATAGGCCACTTTTTTCTTCAGTAGAACATTAGAGCTTGTTGTCATTGGGGATTTTTAAAATGCAAGTTTAAATACAGCTACTTTGATATTCAAGAAGAAATGCTGAATTTAATTGAAAGTATAGTTCACCCAGAAATCTGAATTCTGATTCTTCAATACAAAAAAATACTTTGAAGAAAACATTGAATTTCAAGGTTTCTGTTATATCTATATCAACGGTTAAAGTTTTCTAATTTTTTTTCTTCTTCTTTAAAATGTTGTTTTGTGTTTAACAGAAGAAAGAAACTCATAAAGGTTTAACACTGAAACTACCAAAATTCTATAACTACTAGAGTTACCATAACAGTCATTCTGGCAGTTTTCATATAAGACGTCATATTGTCACGTCATATTTACATTCAAAACTTCTATTAAAATATAAAAATCAGGCTTTGAATGTCTGTCATCATATTTAATGAAGTCATTACCCTAAACATATCGTCACTTTGGAATTATAAGGTTCTATCTGCGTTCTGAATGATTTTGAGATATTGAGCTTCAAAGGTTTTGCATTCCATATAGCAAACAATATGTGTGTAACAGTTCTCTTTCATACATTACCATGACAGAGACCCAAAGGGTTCTCTGAATGTAAATAATCAAAGTTCTCTTACATTTGCAAATTAGAGTAAAAAAACCACGGTAAATGCAGATAGAACCTGCTAATTCTGAAAAGTCATTTTCCATTTGGAGTTATAAGGTTCTATCTGGCAGATCATTTATTGAAGCATTACTTTTCAAGAAATACAATCAAAAAATATATAAGTTGGTGTTGTAACAATATGTTGATGCTTGAGAAAGTTACATTTTTGCTTTCTACAACATTTATTTCATGTTTTAGGATGAATATTTTTTTCTTGTTCCAATTAAGCATGCAATGCTGTGCTAAATATTTTTTCCAGTGCAGATGTTAATTTTATCAAATTAATATGTTAATATTTATAAAATTGTATGCTCTATATGAATTATTGAATTATATTCATTGAATTATATGCCCCATTAATTAAATAAAGTATTTGCTTTTCAAGGCTTAATATTAAATTTAAAGACTTTAAAAGAAACAGACGATGACCAAATGAGTCCAAATGTGTTGCCTATTCACTGACTATATGTAAACAAACAAATATATTTCACATTTAATATCTACATTTTTTAATATTCATCTCTTTTTCAACAATGTAAAATGTAATATTTCATCTCAATGTCGGCAATGCGGTGCATGGCGCAGTGGGTAGCATGATCGCCTCACAGCAAGAAGGTTGCTGGTTCGAGCCTCAGCTGGTTTACTTGGCGCTTCTGTGTGGAGTTTGCATGTTCTCTCTGTGTTGGTGTGTGTTTCCTCCGGGTGCTCTGGTTTCTCCAACAAGTCCAAAGACATGCGGTATAGGTGAATTGGCTAAGCTAAAATTGGCCATAGTGTATGTGTGTGATTAAGTGTGTATGGGTGTTTTCCAGTGATGGTTTGCAGCTGGAAGGGCATCCGCTGTGTAAAACATATGCTGGATAAGTTGGTGGTTCATTCCGCTGTGGTGACCCCAGATTAAAAAATGGACTAAGTCGAAAAGAAAATGAATGAATGAATGAATCTCAATGTAAAGGAAATGCTTCTTAATCGTCACATTTACACACATCTCCATTTTGTGTGGTTCGCAGGGCCAGATTAACCAATGGGCCTTATGGGCACAGGCCCAAGGGCCCGTGCGCACTAGGGGCCCCTGCGAGGGGGGAGAAAAAAAGACAATTTCGGAGTGTCTTTTTTGGCTAATTGCAAATAGCGCATCTAGTTGGCATAAGCTATTCAGGATTTACGCTCATCGATACCTGATTGATAGAGACAACATGAGTAAAGAGCTGTTGATCATTACAGCCGCGGTGGCGCACCTTGTAAGGCGCACAGATTCATCTTTTGCCGCGATTAATCATAAACTCGGTTCGAATCCACCATCAGCTGAACTCGTGCTACTTTTTTCCTCCCCATTACATATCAGATTGGAAATATATTTATTTTTAACAGGAAGGAAACATTGTTTAAAAATAATGCAAATGTGATATAAAGTCACAAGTGTCTCGTGGGTATTTAATAATGTTTAGCCTTATTATAGGTGCCTCCCTCTCTGCAAAAACTATATTGCTCAGACAACTGTATTTCCTCTGAGCAAAAAAAATCGCGATCACATATTAATATTATTATTATATTTAAACTGCCTTTCTTTCTTTAACTAAACAGAATGCTGTAATTGGTCAAGCGGGGAAACGTCAGTTTTGTAATAACCCGCACTAAACTGAGCGGACTTTAGTGTAACGTTATATCTGTCATAGATCAAAAATGAGTGGACAAGTGGATTTAGCAAACGCGAGAGAAAGAGGAGAGGAGGCATATTTATTGAGGCATTTTCCATACACACCATCTTTAAACAGACCCATGATTAGGAGATTGAGGGTACAGAAGAAGACGTTATGGTAACTTTAAATGATGAGAAGCTAGCATTAACCAGGCGGAGGAGGCTAACGGCAGCGCAGCGCGGACTAGATTCATCGTGTGAGAGACAGACAGAAAAGGAGGGAGAGAGGGAGAGAGAGAGAGAAAGGCCCAGAAGAGGAGAGAGATGGGAGAGAAGAGGTATAGTGTGTGTGATTTCGGATACTTTTAGGTTTATAATCAAGTCTTCATCACGAGAAGAGTAGAGAAAATACAGGGAGAGAAGGAGAGAGACAGTAAATCAGTGTTTGTATTATGAAAGACTCAGATTCGTAGAACTCAGATTCATAGAACTGGATTGGAGAAGCATTGTGCATTATATGCCATGGCAATAATATGCTTTATAAGTTTGTAAAAGCAATACATTAAAATACCCTTTAAAAAAAAAAAAAAAAAAAAAAAAAAAAAAATATATATATATATATATATATATATATATATATATATATATATATATATATATATATATATATATATATATATATATAGCCTATATATATAGTTTTATTAGTATTTTTATTCAATGCTTTGAAAAATAAGTTAAATCTTTGTAGACTAAAAATACATATGTACTATATATAATTTATTTAAATATGTGGGCAACAAATTATAGATTCATTTTATTTAAAAAATTCTTATATTATTCTTATTTTTTTAAATTCAACTATAGGGGTGCATTAAAAATGCTGATAAGAGTTCAACTTTGTAGATAAATCATTTTTGTTTTTAAATAAAAAGTTTTAAAATGTAAACAACTCATAAAAAAAACATCACATAATGTAAATAAGATGTCATTTAATATGTGAATAACTCAATTTTGACAAAAATGCACCTCCCTTTCTTTTTCACTTTTACAAGCAGGGGAGAATTAAGGCTTTTTACATGCTGTTTTAAAAAACATATCTTAAGGAAAGTTATGTTTAAGTAAAGTTATGTTTAAATCCTATTTTATTTGAAAAGATGTTTCATGAAAAAGATTTTACTTGCTTTATCAAAATAAAAAAATAAAAAATTAAATTTAAAAATCTGATGATGTTGATTTGAAATGTGAAAATGAAGATCTGTTAAAAATGATTAAGACCTACAACACAATATTTCAGGAAATTTAAAATGTTTTAAATTTCCTGAATGCCCTGCGGACATCCTGCTAAATGTAAATAACACATTTTAGTAACATTTTGAGATATTTTCTTTGGGGAAAATCTGTTATGTAGATTTGAAAGACATTCATTGCATTAATGTAACTGGTGACGGCGGGACAGACGGGTGTGAGTGTCTCTTACCCCAAGTGGACGGTGCGGATGTGGCGCTGGATCCCTGAGGAGGTGCTGAGGACTTTTTCACAGTTCTTCCACAGACACTTAAACATCACCTTCATGGAGTTCTGCAACACACAAACACAGTTTACAGATGATAAAAAGACACGTTGGTGAAGTCACAGGACCAATAGTGTGAACGTTAAACCCTTGTGTGTTGTTGGGAATGTTTTCATCCACATTTTCAGTGTTATTTGGCCACATCTTTCTCAGTGTTTCAGCAAATGAAATGATTTTTGGGGACAAATCTTATTTTAAGACATATTTCGGGAAAATGCTTAGAATTTTTCAAAAACTCAACAGTACACACTGGGAAATTTACTACACTTACATTATGTTTGTGACTGTTTTTGCAACTTTGACTCATTTTTAATTACAAATCCATGACACCGAATATCAAGAGTTCCTGATTGTTGGTGGTTTTCCCTTTTTTGTAATTTTTACTGTTGATCAGCAGTTGCAGTGCAAAAAAAAACTTTGTTTCTGCCTTTTATATGGGGCTATATGTAGTGTGTGAGAGGTGAAGAAAGCGAGATCTTTGAGCACTTACCTTGATACAGTATGTTTGAAAAACAAACATTAAGCATCTCAGCTCTCAGGCCATAGTAAACATAGTACGAATATTTATCCACACACACTATAATCTGCTGTTTTACTTCCAAAAACTCCATATAAAAGCCAGAACTTTTTTGCACAGGCCTATCTAAAGAGAGGGGTCTGGATGCAGACCTGGTGCAGTGCAATCTGAGCTGCATCCAATGCTTTTTAATGCGATCACCTAACATCACCCCTAACCCTACCCGTCACAGTGACCTCACTCACTCCATCGAGTGCATTGTGTCTGACATTGCATCATAAAGTCTGCATCCAAATACTATTGTATCTAAAAGGTTAATGCTGTGAACTGATGAATGTTGTCTCTTTTCCAAATTTAAATGGCTTGAACATAAAACAATTAAGTTATCTCCTTAAAATTTCAAGAATCAGCTCATTTGAAATAGGCCCTTTGAACAAGCATCAGAAATCTTTTGATTGTTTTGAGTGTGTAAAGATATCAGGAATAAATATACAAATTTCACAATGACATCTCATTCATTCATTCATTCATTTTCTTGTCGGCTTATTCCCTTTATTAATCCGAGGTCGCCACAGCGGAATGAACCGCCAACTTATCCAGCAAGTTTTTACGCAGTGGATGCCCTTCCAGCCGCAACCCATGTCTGGGGAACATCCACACACATTCGGACAATTTAGCCTACCCAATTCACCTGAACCCCATGTCTTTGGACTGTGGGGGAAACCGGAGCACCCGGAGGAAACCCACGCGAAGGCAGGGAGAACATGCAAACTCCACACAGAAACGCCAACTGAGCCGAGGTTCGAACCAGCGACCTTCTTGCTGTGAGGCGACAACCCACTGCGCCACTGCCTCGCCTACAATTACATCTCTTGCACAGCTTTTAGATTATTTTACAACCTTATTAGTTCTTTTTAAATGTAGTTTTTTACATTTAAAACATTTACATTTAAATTTAGTATAAAGCTTACAAAAGACCAAATATGACACCTCAGGCTGAGGCTACACAACAATGTTTGAAAGCTGTCTGTATGCTAATAGGCTTGGGCTGAATTAACTAAAGGAATTGGCTTTGTAGAGAAAAAACAGGATGTTTGGTGAATATCAATACAGTTCTTTCACTTTACAAGATGAATACTGAGAGAATCTTTAGTAAATACATTTTAAAGGGTCCAAATTAATCTGAAATGTATGTATATATATATATATTTTAATTTGAAATAGTATCATTTATATTTACAATTTAGACACAGATTTCTATTTTTTGTTTCTCTTTTTAGCAATTTATGTCAAAGAGCTTTAAGTTATTTATTCTAATATTTCATTTTATCTTGATGGAAATCCAGCCCTGTAGAAAATAAAATGACATGAGGAAATAAATGTAATAATATGCAAGTAAAAAAATTGTATAAGTGTGTATGGATGTTTCCCAGTGATGGGTTGCAGCTGGAAGGGCATCTGCTGCGTAAAACATATGCTGGATAAATTGGCGGTTCATCAGATCCTTCTTTTCCACAACACACCGCTGCATCGACCACATTATTGCAATGCAGCACCAATCCGCCAGTCAATTTCACGTTCCATCCTTTCCTCACTCGTGAACAAAACCCCAAGAAACTTTAACTCCTTCACCTGTGGTAAGGACTTTCCTCCAACCTGGAGATGGCAAACAAACTTTTTCCGGTTGAGCATCATGGCCTCAGACTTGGAGGTGCTGATTCTTATCCCATTATTAAATCAAGAAGCAATTTTCTAGACAAGTAAACAGTATAGTCTTGTTTTAATAATAATAATAGTGTTGTTGTAAAAAAAAAAAAAAAACTACCACTAGTATGCTTATTATGGTTCAAAATGGATTTGATTATTATTATTATTGCTATTAATGTTATTATTATTATCATCATAATCATCATCATCATCATTATTAATATTATCATCATCATTATTATTAATATCAGTGTTGTTGTGAAAAAAACTACCACTAATATTCTGTTGAATATGTTCCATAATGGCTTTTATTATTATTATTATTATTATTATTATTATTATTATTATTATTATTATTATTATTAATAATAATAATAATAATAATAATAATAATAATAATAATAAATATACAACAAGTAATAGGCCAGATTAACATGCGTAAATGTTCATGTTCGAACTAATAAGATAATTAAGTCTTCGGCACTGTAAGGGTGCCCAGATCCAACACTATCCCACAGCAATTCCTAACTTTTTCATTTAAAGGCCAATTCGTATGAATTCGTACAATCTCATTTGTAAAATTTAGTACGACTTGCTCATCCCACAATAAGGGTTGGGTTTATTATTAATATTAATAATAATATTATTTTCTGTTCACCTACAATACATAAATTGGCTTTGACACATCTAAATCTACAGAAGTCAACCTTTGAAGTGAATCAAAAATGTTTTTTCAGAACTGTCCTACAAGAATAGGTGTTTAGTTTTAGGACAACTTTGGTGAAAGGTGATGATCCACTTCAAATGTTGCTGATTGTACACTGAAAAAAGTGCTGTAGGACTAAAAGATGACCTGACTTGACTACCAGAAGTACTTTCAATTATAGATTTAGCCATGAGTGTTTATGAATGAGTCGTCAGTCCTCTAGTGTTACGCTTCAGGAAGCTGCTCTGCTTCATTTTCTTGTTCTCCTCCACCGAGAGTGGTTTGTATTGGCTATAGCGGAACATATAGGGGCGCGGGAGGCCTCTGGTGAGCTGAAATAATAGAGGAGACGGCCAGCGCTGTTGCCTAAAACAAGCACTAGCAGTATGGGACACATCCATCTGTCTTTCTGCACTCACTGCAGCCCAAAACATATTCCACTTCATGTAGTGCAAACCCATGAGAAATGAGAAACTCTGTATATGGTCTTTTATGGAGTATTCGCTTAAATATTCTGATTATATTTTTAGCTGTAAATTGGATGGTTTCTAACACAATCTGGCATAATACTAATATTTTTTTATAAGTAAACAAGGTTTGCACTAAAAGAATATTGAACTGAAAAACATTATTTATTGAATTTACATCAACTATTTTCGCTTTATAAATTATTTGAGTCTGAACGATCTTTATTTAAAAAAATAACCATATTTATGGTAACATTAACAGCACTGATTTAAAGTTGAATATTTTTATCAGATAAACGTCAAGTTCTATGTTTTTACAAAGTTAAGTGCATTAATAATAAAACAATTAAGCTATCTTGGGTTTTTCAGCTGATTTTAAATAAGTAGTTTGAGCAAACAGCAAAGATAATTTTTCAGCGTACTTTGGCATATCATTGCACAGTTACTTGGTTTAAAAACAAAAACAGTCCTGACAGGAAGTAAAGGACTGGACATTAACTTTGCAGGGATATGGCAAGTAAGCAATTACATACTAGTATTAACAAGTCTTTAAGCAAACATTTACTCCAATGTGTTACTCTGTTGATGTCCACAGGAAGCGTCTTGATTTAAATGTGATTTTTGCTTTTGTGTTCCAAAATTTAAGGTCAGTAAAATTTCTGTTAATTTTGACTCTAGTCATATTCTGTTAAAAATGACAGGCCAAATATGGTCTGATATTCAGTAAAGATCATCTTTGTGAAGATTTTGTACATTTCCTTAACATAACTTAAAGTATGCACTCAAAAATGGTTTGCTTCTTGATCAAATTACTTAAAATAAGCTGAAACAACACAACTCTTGATTCTTTTTTTGACAACTTAATTATTTTTATGTTCAATCCACTTAAATTTGTACATTAATTAACTTAATTAATTCATGCTGTCACAAAACAAATCAATTATGTGGAATAAGGCATTTTTTAAAGAGTAAGAACTTAAGTTAGACAACTTTAAAGGAGATTATAATCATTTGTTTAGATATTTCTGCATATATGTTTTGAACACTCAGATTCCAGACATTAAGTAGTATAATGACTGTGAAATTATCATAGCACAACAAATCATACATCAATGAACATTTATTCAGCTTCAGATTATGCCTTAAAATATGTACCATTACACACTGAAAAAAAAAATTGTCGAATTAACATAAAAAATATGTACATCGGTTGCACATAATAAAGTTATGTTTATTAAACATTATTTTTTTTAATATTTTCAATTAAATTGTTTTTTTATGTTCAGGCTACATAATTTAACTTTGATTAAATAACATGACTTTTATATGTTCAAACCACACCATTTCTTTACAATTAAAGAACATGATTTTTATATGCTTAAACTACATCATTTATTTATTAAATAACATGATTTTATTTGTTCAAATTACATAATTTCCTTTTAGATTAAAGAACTTGAACAACAAGTTATGCTTGTTAAATTAACATGGCATATTGTAAATATTAACATGACAGAATGCTATGGGCTGACACATCTACAGTTTTTATTCAGCAGAGATGCCTTAAATTAATGAAAGATTTATAACATTACAAAAGGTTCGCATTCAAAT